TTGTGTCGCAAATCACGACACATGCGACAAATTTTAACTTAGAGTGTATTCTTTGATATCTTACCACTAGTATTGTTTTTCTTCCGATTTAAACACCTGTCATACGTAGTATGACGGTGAAAGGAGTTTATGGTATACTAATGTTCACTGCTGTAGAGATTACGATCAAAAATATTTTTTTTCTCTTATTCAAGCGAATTCCATCAGATTGAGTGATCGAGCAATTAGGTTTTAAAATAATTTTTCTAGGTATTTTTGACTAGATAATACTTTAGTTGTAGTACGAGAAATTTGGAAACGCAAAATCTTCTTTTGCATCATTCGTCAACGGCTGAATGAGTTTGGATCGTCAATTGCCGAAATCCATCAATTTCATACAAATACACGTACAATCAAGAACAAAGAACGAGCTCGATAGAAAAGAATTAATATTATTACAAGAACAGGAACGATGAATATCTGTAATGATGGTAGAAAATTTTCTTTAACACAAATGTAATCACACATCATTCTGGAAGCGTATAGTTTGACTAACAACTTGGAGGGTGTTGGTGTCTGGGGTGTGTGGGTGATGTGGGTGATGTGGGTGTGGGTGTCATGGTGTCGATGTGGTGGTATGGGTATGGGTGTGGGTGTGAGTCTTCTTCGTACCAACATTGGCACCCACATCCACACCCGCATAGTCAAAAGAGCGGCGCGCCATACTCGATCATAGACCGTCTGATAATTCACATAGCTAGATAAAGCCGGTTTGTTCTCTACCATACAGTTTTTTACTTCTTTATAGATTGACACAACTCTTGTAGGTACCAAACATTGTGGCCGAAATCCAGATTGCTCCACTGGCACTATATGATTCATTCACGCCCAGTATCTAACTCTATTAAGTAGTAGTTTTTCGAAACGTTTTGAAGGTGTTGCTAGTAAGAAAATAGGTCGAGTTTCATCGCATTTCGGAATACCTGCGTTAATTTATTTACAGTTACTATTTTTGGTAATTTCCATACATCTGGATATCTGCATTCGCTTAACCGCTGGTTAAAACAGTTAAGAAGAGGATGATGTATGTAGTGTTGGTGTGGTTCTAGTATTTCCTCTCACCCACATCTCACACCTATAGCAAAACAACAGCATTTAGGAATATACTGACATATTTCGGTAGAAACCTCATAGTGACATGTATCGATTCATATTTTTTGCAATATCCGCTGGAAATGTGATCAGTTTATCGAAAGTAATAATATTATAAACAGTGAACAAGTTTGAAGCAAACAAAAGCGCCTGATTTATCACTTCATCGTGCAAAACATGAGATACAAGTGAAAATTCATTTAAATCAAATGTTTCGAAGTATTCTTGATATAAATAGCAATTATATTAATAAGTTTCACTTTAAATCTGCTCTATGAAACCTATCAATCCGATGATTAATTTAATAGAAAAATTCATCATTTTTTAGAGTACCTACAATAAAAAACTGGCACAAAGTGCTTGAAATAACATTCTTCCAAATAAACATGATGAATAGATTTCATATTGTAATTAGCCTATGCTGCTGTTTGGGAACGTCAGGAGAGCCGAACCAGAAACTGTGTCCATAAGCGATCAATGTCAACTAATTGATTAAGATGAATTCAAAAACACAATCAACAATTATTCAGAAATAAACAAAACAAGTCATGAAACACAGACAATCCTTTTGTTTTAATATCATTCTGAAAAGAATAAGATGCCAACATGGTATCGTCAACGGAAGTTTCTATCGAATCCAAGAATAGTAACCGATATGGAGTATCGTTGTATGATATGTATCATCGCATCTCAGCAAAGAACTCTGAATTCAAGATGATGTGAAATACCATCTAGATATAGATAGAACGTTCTCTATCAACGTGTGAAACTGACACAAACATTCGTTTTTTTTATTGAGGACTGGTTGCTTAGCCATTTAGAAAATCTTTATATGCTGTGCGAGATTATAAAGTACTGGAAATTATCCTAGAGAAGAATTTCGTTCAGGATGAGTGTGAGTATGATTATTTTCCTTGCATTTACCTACATCCACATCCATGTATTGAACGTATGCATTTTTGAACAGCTTTTTCTTTAGATTATTTTTCGATTAACATTTAGTTGAGAACATGTTAAGAGACCGATCAGTGATCGAGATTGACCTCCTTGAAGTGGTCATAATTCAGACTAAGCCGAAAAGTAGTATGGGCATGTTTTCAGAACGTTTCTCAAGTTCGCTAGAAGAAATCTCTCGAAACGAGCACTTCATGTCACAAAATACGGTACATACGACATATCTTGTGTTACTGTGAATGCATACTGTCTATCATTGTGCAATGACAAAGAAATTGAAATAGAAAAAAATCTTTGATTCATTTTTGGGCAATGAAGCTTCGCGATACATTCTGGAGTGTAAAGACAAAACGTCGTCTTTTGGGTCTGAGTAGGAATATTCTCTTCATCAACACGAAATTTCTATTCCATCATTTAAACAGATACGTAGCAATACTCATCATACAGCTATTGAAAATATTCCAAAAAAGAGACATAACGTCTCACTTTTTGTTCCGAAAGCCCTTAGCATCATTTAAGTAGATCTCGTTCAGATCTATCAATTGATATGAAACTCGAAGTGGGCTAGGTGATATTCATCATTCACACATATTATTCGATAGAGAACTGAAACGGCTTTATTGTACATATATGGCGTATTTGCTATGAAATTATTCTATGAACAAATCTTTCTGAGAAGATGAAATATGGATAAATTTCAGTTAGCTCAGTCATTTGGTATACATACAGAAGGCATTAAAAGATCTAGTTTTATTAGTTACAGATTTCTGACAATCAGAATGACAAAACAGGTAACATAAAATTGAATTTTATGAGAGGAATATGGACGATTTTGCTTCATAAAGACTTCTTTCTTTTTTTGTAAACTTTGTTATTTTTCAAATTTCGATATAGTTAAAATAAAGACACGATAAAAAGTTAGTCCTTAGTCTGCTGACTAAACTAATTTTCTCTATTACAACTGTAAGAACAACTAATCATAGATAATGAATTAATCGATAGCGTTCTTTAGAAAAACGTTGATACGCGTTGATAGAGTTCTCGTAATGATGAATTTGACTGTGACTGTTTTCCACAATTGTTCTTTACTTTGATGAGCTGATTGGTAGACACGTTAATCTTTCGATTTACAAAGTCCAGTAAAACATACACATCTTTCGAGTAACAGCGCTTCATGATACATCGTAAGAACAATTTTTCTTTTGCTCCCAAAAATCGAGATTCTGGTGAAATCTGAATACCATCTAGTTATAAATGTTGTCGAAACATAATAGAGAAGATCCCTGTCAAGCAAACTATGCTTTAAAGTAAAATTACATTTTACATAAGTTTTGTTTGATCTGTCGAAATCATATGGTACAAAATTGACAAAATTCCTGTACATTTTCTTACTTTGCCGGGAAAAGTATATGTAAAATAGGAGAATCAGTCAAAATATAGGACGAATCTGACTTCAAGATACTCTGTACTTTTTCTCTCAAATGTGTCCATTGCTTTTAACGAAAAAAATAATCTCGTTAACCGATTTTAAAAAATTGACCATTATATTATTATTGTTACAAGAGAATATGTCATTCAAAGTTATGGTATTTGCAACGTCCACCTGAGTACTAAATCTCATACAAGTACATTCAGTTAGAGGTCATTCTTTGTTTACATATACATTAGCTTAAGTCGAGACTCAGCCCACATGTAATATCCTGTATGTCACAGAGCGTTAATAATCGCATATAACTATTGTAAAAAACGGTGTAAAAGAAGTATTGTAGTCCGGAGGATAGGCACTTCTCCCTCCTCCTTTCTTTTCTTTCTAAAGAACAGCTAGACTAAAAATTTTGAAATTTTCTGGGTAAATAGTTCTCGACTAGCGGAGCAAAAGGTGTCATAGACTTAGGAATTTCGGATGCTTCCTTCTATGAGACATACAGGACACAACGGACTAAATATTTTTTGTAATAGCTAGGAATAAATTGAGATGTATTTCGTTTTAAGACCTGCGAAAAATCATCAGAATACTATTTTAAGAAAAAAAAAAACATATACACTCTGACTTGATCGTAGTTGTCATACAAAAAATTTCAGCTCAAATGGATCGAAGCATCTGTGAGAAAATTTGAACTTTTCTATTCAGAAACTGGCATTGAGAAAAACGTGAAACTAAATATAGTTATCACTAATTCAACTTACTGTAACATGTTATGAATGACATTTTTCATTACAGACATAGGAATAAATTACATATACCAAAAATGAACTATATGTTTCAGAATCCTTTGATTTAGTATATTTTCATATAAATTGTGTTTTACATATCAGTCTCACAAGTATTGCACAAACAACTTTTGGTTTTATTTGATGTGTATTTATATATTATTTAATAAAATTTATCATCATCTATTTTCTATTTATTAATGTTCATAACACAATTTATTAATTCATAAGAATAAATTATAAAAATTTTGATTTATTACCTTCAATGCAATTTTTTTCTTTCTTTCTCTTTATTATCCATCATATTGAAAAATAAAACTGAAGTCA